TCGCGCCAATGCAGTCCTGATGAGTAAATGTTAGGATTGAAAATACCATTGCTTACCCTTGCAAAGTTAACTATAATGAATCCGAGAGAATACCTTAAAAATGACATATATCGTGCATCACATGCTATCTCAACCGATATCTGCTCAAACTTATAATCTGAGGGTCTGATGACATGAGAGGACAAGCTAACAAGTGCGCTCAATCCGATTGAGAAATACCTGCTTATTATTTCTGATGAGTGTTGAAATCGCTCCATCGCTCCTCGTATAGACTCTTTTTGAGATAATATGAATAGTGTTATTGCGAGCACCTCACGTGGATTGGTCCTGGAGGATCCATGAAGACCGTGAGATCGTACGAGTAAGTCTAGAAGATCCATAAATATTGTCTGGCTTATTCGAAACATATTACAAAAGCGTGTTGGGTGCCCTGCAAGCAACTCTCCAACCCATTTATTGCTAATATAAGAAGATGTCATGCATGGCGATCGATCAATGTACGTGTTATAGTACTCGTACATCAAATATATTGTCATCAGAAACATCCCTCTTTGCTTTCTTCTGCTTGTATCATTGTGGGTTTCCATCCCTCTTCTTCTATTTGCATCCATAGTGATGGGTATCCCTAAATGTTTCCCCTAAAAAATTATCATTTATATGAGAGTTGAAGACAATAAAAAAGGTAATGTTTGCAAATAATTAGGAAGGTACAACAGAGGTCACAAGCACAAGTCTAGAAAAAAAATAGATAATGCAGTGTAAATGATAATCAATTTTTCAAACGATTGCAAAAACGTTTTCAACCGATAATGTAGTGTAAATGATAATCAATTGTTCAAACGATAGAAAAAAAATAAAAAAACCATAGATAATCTAGTGATAAAAAATAGAAAATATATCAATTGTTCAAACGATTGTAAAAACGCCAAATATATGCCACTCTGCGGGCGGCAGGCATCTGCACGAAGAAATCCCTACGGACCGGGTCTTCTAGCAATTCTGCTGCGAACAGATACAACTCTTCATCTGCATAAATTTTGGCTGTAGCACTTAGGATTTCAAGTGTCTCTGCGATTGTGCTTGAATGAGAAGACTGACATTCTGCTTTCAAACAAGAAACTGCCTCGGATAACTCGTTTCTGAGAGAAGAAGCACCATATTTTCTTTTATCAACAACCCTCGGACGTTTGGAACGGGAAATAGTTTCATATTCGTTCTGATCTGTGCTGGGGACGTCAATGAAACCAACTGAACCTCCAGGGGTTCCCAAATTCACGACATTGCCAGCGAACCCTATCTCGCTTGGGCTACATGCATAGTTCCCCGTTGCAACCACTCCCCCAAACATGCGGTCTAGTTTCTCCTCTAATTCAGGCTCAATTCCAGAAAGTTTAAACTTTTTTGCAGCAGGCACCACCTACACAAAATTTTGTAGACACCCAATTATAACAAAATAGATAGTTGGAAAAAAAAAGTTTATAAACAAAGCTCACCGCAAGTCTTTCAGCCCACCATTCCTCGGGTGCATCAACTGTTCGCTTTATTGGATTCCAACCAAGACCGGTAGAACCCTTTTTCAATTCCTTCCATATTTTTCATTCCTTCTTCATTTGGTCCCACTTGTTTTTCATTTGCAACCTGTCATATTCTCTGCCTGTACATTCCTTGAAATTTTTTATAATGTTTTGCCACCCTTCTTTATTGAAATGGGTCGTTGGTCTATTTCCCCGTTCAATCTCTTCAAGACAAAGATCGCAAAATATTATTTTTGTATCTTTTTCCCACAATGCTGGAGTAACAATCTCTTTAGGATTACTATCCATGTTATTACTATAACAAAACAAAGTCATGAAACACAACAGTAAAATCAATTAGAAAGTAGAATAAAGTAATGTTTAGGTATTAGTCATGAAACATCTTCGTTGCCAATGGAACCACAAGACTATCACCATGGATCAATTTTATTAGCACTCCTATGCATAAGCACAATTCAATAAAAACTTGTGCTTGCAACAATTCAGGCAGAACACAATTTAAGAACATAAAAAACAATAAAAACGAGTTCTTGATATTCAAGAGAAGTTTAAGAGAGTTTTATGTAATCCAAGGTTAATCAAAAGTCTAAATTGCATTCAATGAAATGATATATTTACATAAACATGCAGCAATTCTTATGTATCTGCATATCTAACTCCCAAGTCTTACTCTTTCTATGCATGCAATCTAAACCCTTCATATCAATTCAGATGCATCATCATTATAACTTCTCAAAAGTGTGCAGCAAAAAAAAACAAAAAAAAATTATAAAAATTCAGTGTTACAAATGCAACCATTTTAGAACTAGGAACATCTAAATAGAAAACAATAATCAACATTGCTCGACTGATAAAAAAGATGTTTCGTTGTACATAATCCAGGTCACTGGGACTAATATCAACGGGAGGAAGACGAGCACGCAGAAGAAGAGCGGGGGGAAGAAGAAGGCCGAAGGTGGAAGAAGAAGGCTGAAGAAGAGAGGGGGAAGAAGAAGGCGGAAGATGCGGTCCTGGTCGAGGAAGAAGAGAGGGGAAGAAGATTGCGGGAAGAAGAAAAACTTGGTCACGATTTACGGGATTTGGAGACGAGGGGACGAGCGCACGGGGAAGAAGATCGCGGGGAAGAAGAAGATCGCGGGGAAGAAGATCGCGGGGACGAGCGCGCGGGAGGGCGATCTGCGGGATTCGGATGAAGAAATTGCGCGCGGGAGATTGGGAGGGAGAAGATCGCGGGCGGGCGGGAGGGCGGGACGAGAGCTTGAGGGGCAAAACAAGTTTTTTCACGCTCTGAAGCTGTGCCGCGGGGAGGATATCGCTTTCCGCTTTTCTTCCCGTTAACTTTATTTTGCCTTCGACCCAAACAGTAAATATTCACAATCGGGAGCCGCGAAGCCCCAAAAAAAAGCGGCCCCAAACGGTACTCCAATGAGGGGTGCCACTTATGCACCACGGTGGGACCATTGCCTACGTGGCACCCCCTCATTAGAGTACTGATGGATCAGTACTCCTGAGGTAATATTTTTTCCTCAAACGGACCCTAAAGTCTGATTTAAATCTAACCAATGGATTAGTGAGAGGATCAGTACTATATAAAAATTAACATTACAACTAAATCCTAATAAACCTAACCAGATAGGAGTTAGTATTTTAAGTGACTAATCACAAGATTCAAAACAAATAAAAATGTGTTTAA